TTTGATTTCCACACTGATTAGTACTTAAAAATATATTTCTATCAAGGTTTTATATTATTATTTTGAACTTAAAATATCATTAAATTTCCTAACCTAAGCATGTTTTATAATAAAAAGTCTAATGATAAAAAATAGCTTTAATTTATGGTAAATACTCATTTTAAATGCAGGCATATCTTATAATTCAAAAGATTGATTGATGTGATTAATTATTAAAAGTGAAAGGACAAATAAAAGGCTAAGTTTAGAAAAGAGATGCTGATTCAATTCAAACTATAACACTGTTCAGTCATTGGGTCACATCTGGAGCTGTAGATCTTAAATTTCCGGTTGGTTTATATGGCTAGAAAGCTAAGATACAACCTAAAATATTCATGAGAATTTAAGACTCAGTTCTGCCGTTTGGAAATCCAAATCTTAGCATTAAAGAGAAGTTGAAATATGTCTTGTAGCCCAGACATTGTTTAATGTTTAGCTCAAATCTTGAGTTCTAAAAGTCCAAATGCATCGATTCTTTTTGTGCTGGAAAGCTGAGATAATTTTTCAGAACTTTCATGAAGGCTATATATTCAAATTCTGATATTAGCAATGATATTTTATTTAGATAAGAAGATAAGGATTGTAACTAAGTTAAGATGTGGTTGCCCACTCAACAATTAGTTATCAAATCAATAGTTCTAAATTTTAGCCTATAAAAAGAGGCATTTGCCAAGCATTTAGACATCTTGGTTTTCAAATCAAGATTATATTATTGCTCTCTTTCTTTATATTTTTGTAATGTTTAAGGTTTGTTGTCATTAATATCTTGTTTATACTTTTCATCATAACTATGTTCTTATTTAGTTTATTTATGTTTCTCTTTTTTATAATATTTAGCTAAGTTTATTATATCAAGGTGAAAATGTTTCACTAATTTTAGAATAGGTATAATATAAACTCTACATGGACTTCAATGTTTATATTTAAGAAAGTTTATTATTAACATTTCTTATCTTTTTAGCTTACTAATTCTTAATACCTTACTTGTTAAATAGTTAATCTAGATTTGTGTTGTGTAACATTTGGTATAACAAATGGTTGACACTTTTATAGCCAACCATATGATATAACGTACACCTGTGCTATGGAAAAAACTTGATTTGTTGTTAACATAAGTTAGCATCATAAATTCTTGATAATATTTAAAAGTTTGGTTTTAAATAAGATAATTCCAGTTTGGACTGAACCAGCATCTCTTTTTAATCTTAGCCCTCTCTTTGTCTTCTTAATTTTATTAATTAAACTCATCAATCAATCCTTTTATTTATGTAATAGGTTTGTATTTAAGATGAATATACACCATAAATTAAAGGTATTTTATATTATTAGATATGTTATTATAAAACATGTTCTAGTTAAGGAGTTATTGATACTTGAAGTGCAAAGTGATGATATAAAACTTTGATAAAATTGCACTTTTAATTACTAATCAAACCCTTTAAGCAAAAAATTCCTTAACAAAAAAGTAACCAACCAAACAAAACCTAGGTACCTAAAAAAAAAAACAATCGAATTGACTTGAAAACATTGGTTCAACCCCAACCCAATAATAAACAATGTTTTAAGTCGAAACAATTGGTTCAACCATAAACCGAACAAAAAACCACCTAGTTTGACTTGAAAAATAAACCAAAAATTAAACTAGAAACCAAAATGAATTAGAGTTAACAAAATCACGAAAACTAAAAAATTATCTATTAAAACGAATAAAAACCTAGAAAAAAATAAAGAACACGAAGAACCCTGATGTGCATTCAAACCAAACCTAGCAACATAAATTTCAATCCAGACAAGTTTTTAAGCAATCAAAGGTATAATCATCATGGACTAAGATTCAAACATTCATTTACTTTGATTATCAAAGAATTAACATGATTTTATAAAATTAAGTTTCAATTTAAAACTGAAACATAGGATTAATAATCCATAAATGTTATTGATGCTTTAAGACTCTAGATTATCGATTAAACAAGTCATATAAAGATACAAAAACCAAAATCAAATCAAAACGAAACCTAAAACTTGTATTCAATATAATATTCTTTGGATGAACATAAAGAACATTCAACAATAAAAATCCAGAAATGCCATTTGAAGCTTTAAACTTCTAGTTTTTGACCTTAACAAACCACATTGCAATATTCATATACGTTTTAATCAAAATAAACAAAAAAAAATCATAAATCATGGAAAACATGCATGGAATTCCTAAAACCAAAATTGTAGCCCTATTAATAGCCAATCAATACATTAAACTTACATCCAAAATTGACTCTTTTGGAACAAACCAAGCTCAAGAACCAAGGAGATGAACTAGCAACCCAAAAATAAGCATCAAACAACCACCACTACTTTTGGCAGATTATAAAAATCATTCTATCTCAACAAAAACAACATCTAAATATTTTCTAAATAACATTGACTTGATAAGAAAAATCATGTAAAATTTTAAAAAAGAGATGTTAAAAGCTGAACGCGTTGAAAAAGTTTTTTGAATTATTTTGAGAAGAAGTTAAAATTGCTAAAAATGATGCAAATATATCAAGAATATATATATTTTTTAATTTTATTATATTTAAAAAATATAAAAATAAAGGGTTAAAAATTGGCTTATAACAAAGGTTATGCTATTAACATGAATAACAAGTAATGAATTTCCATTAAGAATATTAATTGGTGTGTGATTGTGAATTGATTGTATATCATCCAGCAAAGTTTCTAATTCAACCACGTGATTAGAGGCCCTACTTTTAACAATCCAATTATGAGTTGAAAGGTTTTCTTACTAGTATGATTAGCTAAATTCAAGGAATTGCTATTAAAAAGTTGTATTAATTGATTGTATTGATTCATAATCAGTCCAAATATAGGTGAAAACTTGTCTTACTTGATTTAATAATGCCATTTGACATGACAATATAGGTTGAATTGTTCTTACTTGATTGTGCCTTCATATATTTTGTTTGTTCATTCCTTTCACTTTGGTGTATCTTGCGACTTGGTTTTTAATTTGATGGATATCCTACTAGTTTGTAACACTCATCTTTTGTATGACTTATATAATTATAATGCTCGTATTGCAATTCCTATTTGTCTTTAACGTATCCTATATTGGTTTTGACAGCAAGGGAAGTAACTTCCATGTCTGGGGTACATCTCATGGAAGAAGTTTGTTGTTTCTCGTTATGAATTACCATATCATAAACCTTACTAAACGAATGAAGAGTCTTAAAACTAAGGATTTGAGATCTTATAATTTTAAAGTTTTCAGTTAATCTAATAAAAAAATGATAGATCTTCTCTTACTCTCTTATTATTACAAATTCCTTTATTGCACCGCATGTGCATTTGAGAATTTTTTCAAATTGCATTTTTTTCCAAATAGAAAAAGGTGGAGAGTGAGGGTTTTGTTTTGCAAATGTTCCATCGATAAAATATATTTTGTTCTTAGCATGGAGGGCATTTTCCACATTACTCTCCTTAATATAGGATAGTTATGTTCATTGAGAACAAATGTAAAAAATATAGTACCTGAATAGTTTGAAGGGTGCAAGAAATAATGAGTTAAAATCAATGAAAGTTTGTGTATGAGAATCAACATAGGTTTGTGACTTTTTCCCCCCCGTCACTGCTTTGTGTCATTTGTCATAACCTGATTTTGATTTTTTTTTTTACTTTTTAAAAATACAAAAAAATATATTTTTAATGTATTTGCATCGTTTTTGACATTTTAATACCTTTTCAAAAAAAATTAGAAGTTCAAAAATTTACTTTCGACATGTTTAGTTTTTAACACGTTTATTTCAAAATCATTAATCATTTTCTATTATTGAGTAGACATTGATGTTATCTTTTTTTTTTAAAATATCAAAATAAAAAAAACAAGACACATAAAAAATAAATAAAAAATTTGAACAAGAGGACCAAAGTGTAAAGAAAGAAAATGAGGGACTAAATTGATTTTAAATTACTTCACTAAGTTTCCTTGAGTACCAAACAATTGTGAGGAAAAAGATAAATTTATTTTGCCAATAAATAGATGGTTATACCACACAAAAAAAGAGAAAAGGGTTGTAAAAAAGAAATTAATTAAAGGATAAAAAAACTCATACAGGAAACATATCTCACTAGACACAATAAAAGAAAAAGAAAAAGAAAAACCCTAGATCCACACTATCTTTACAACAACCAGCCACCGGCCATATGATACCATGAGAAGTTCGCTTTCTTTCATCAGTCTTGTTTATATGTATGTATGTATTTGCACATGTTTGTTCTAAATAAGTCACAGGAGAAAAATATACAAAGTAATAATAGATACAATATAATCATATGAATTATATACGTAAATAAGGAAGGAGATATTGAGGAGGTTGTTATGGTATGTGCCATTAAAAATGAATCAAGTAACGATTCAGTACAATCTTCAATACAAGCCATTAGAGCCCTTGTTGCCAAAACATGGAATACTTTGTTTTTATTTAAGGCAACACATTTTGGAGGATGAAATCCCATGGAAATCTCGATGAACTTCTTGGTGGTGGAGAAAATAACTCCTGGAATTTATACATGGTAGGCCTCTACACAGCATTATTCTTTTGTTAATAGATATTCCACCTTTTCCTTTGGGCAATATGACAATCGGCACCCTTTGGATCATCTAGTTTCGAAATCAGCCCACGCAACTGCATGCTATCGTACTGTCTTTAGACACAGCTAGGTGAATACGATCAAATTTTATGAAAGCATCAGGATTCCGAGAGTGGAAAAATTGAATTAATGCATGATATCTGAATTAACCAATACAGGAGTTTCGATAATCCACTCGTCCATCCCTCGAAGTAACTTCTCACGCATACCTGCATGTTGTTGAATCTAGGCAATCACACGTACACGAATGTCTAGACTTACAAAACCAAGTCCTATATACGGGTATGAATAACATGGAGGACAGCAAATTATATATAAGAAAAAACAAATTTAAATTTAAAAAAAAGGAAGAAGATTGATAGCCTTTACAAAATGAATTAGTTTAATACTCATCATCCGAACCTGTTAAAGCCTTAACCATTATCTGCATGAGTTTAACTCTCATTTGCAAAGACAAAATATAACCAGCTGTCTCTCTGAAAAGCCCATCCAATCCCATGGATTCACTATTAGGAATGAGTTTCTTCAGGGTTCTAACTCTTCTCTCGATGCCATATCCTGCCCTCATGGTAGAACCTTCTGCACGAGCTCTTCTCTTCATCAAGATCCTTCCAGGTCTCTTGCTCCTGGAACGCCGCCCATTTTTTTGTCTACTCAGTGGGCATCTTCTTTTGGTTTGTGCTTCCACGACCTTGTTCCACAAAGCTTCAGTTGGCATATCCATCGTTTCTTCATTTCCTTGGACCATACCCTTCAAAGAAACAAGAGGAGGATGCTCACCTGCTGAAACTCCCATTACTCGAAAGAGTTTTGAATGAAGCACTAGTTCAGCTTTTGCGCAGGCCTTTCAAATTTGGTTGTCAAAACAAGACGTTGTATAGCATATGCCAGAATTGAGGGCATTTATATACGGTATTCGACATATATAGTGGGTAAATAAGTTGTTGATAGCCAGCTAAATGAGGATAATGGAAATAAATTAAGGTGGCCGAAACGTCGGGACAACAAACACAATTTCATAGAAGGACTCCAAGGCAATGGGATAAATGAATAGGGGAGAGCCAAGTGTACATAAGGGGGTTGCTTGTTGCTTTAGCCATGTTCTCCAGCTCAATGCACATGCAAACACATGATTCTTCACCACTACCCAACCCTCTCTAATCTAAACCACCATCTCTCATACACCCTCCCATCTCGTCAAAACACCCTGGATTATTCCTCCCCCACTTCCCGAACTCAGTGCATAATATATATAATTTTGAATTTGGGGTCCTTAATATTCCTATTTCCAGCTCAGAAAACATGGCATTCTACATATATAAACCCTAAGGTTCATGGTGGTTAATAAGCTCGTGTTTCCAAACAAGAAAGCCCCTGTATTATAAAACGACAAGCATTTGAAGATTGAAGAGCCTGTGATTAAATATTGTTAATTACTTTGTCAATATTCGTGTTAACAAATGTGGACAATTTAGATCCTAATGTTGGGATAAGGTAGATTTTCTTCTGACATTCATGAACCCCATTTTCCATCAAGATGATGATTGTTTTATTAAAGATTTATCAGCAATCATGTTCTGACATGTCTGTTTCGAATTACACCAACACAAACAATTAACCCGGCAATCTGACAGACAAAAGTGCATGCATCTTCATCACTGATACTACGGAGGAAATTGATTCCAAGCTTCAAAATCTGGGAATCTTCATCTTTGATATATTCCTCATTTATAAGGTTGGTATACTTTGATCCAATTTTTGACAATATGTCATTTAAGTGAACTTGATATTCTCAATTTAATTTGACTTCCTTGCTGCGATGATACATGATCAGTAACATAATAATGTAAACCATGCATTCTTCTATGGATATGTTTAGGATAAACCAAAGTTAAAACATCTTTCTGCTTCATTTTGGTAGGATTCTGGTCCTGCCTTCAAAATTACATATACATAATCACTCATTGTTTCTTCTAAATTTGTCAAGAGCTCAAGAGAAATATAGAACATGCACACACATGTAGTTGTTGTGCAGAGAAATCATCCTGCTTGATAAAAGCAATTGATTTTATGTAGACATCAATCAAGCACAAAATTAAGTCCAGTTACATGGTTCTAAACATGTGCAGTACCCATTGCTCAACGTGGACTAGGAGACTATATAACTATATGTTTTGTTATTGAATTTAATAAATAGTGCGTTTCCACTTCTAATTTTGTGCTGCAAGTAATGAACAGGTAGGAAGCAATATCACGAAGGATGTTCTCTTCCTGTCATCCAGTTGTCGGTACACGTTCGCTTTCTTTATAATATTGGTACATAACCTTATAATGCAAAGCAAACAAACCCATGACGGCTAGGCACATGGATTTATTCATTATTGGTTGATATTTTTCAAGCAAAATATATATATCATTGGATACGTTCTATTTTTGGATTCGAAGCACCAAACACACACACAATTTTTCTTCTGTCATTGTTTTTTTTTTTTTTTTTTGTCTTGAATTAGCAGAGATTAACTTGTTGAGGATTAAATGCATCCCTTTGGCATGGCTAATTAGCATCGTGAGAGTAGTGGCCGGGTTCAAATTGTACTTTGTCGAAAATTAGCTGTGCGCAATGTTGAAATAAAAATGTGGGAAGCATCGTGAAAGCTATATGGAAAATAAATATACATGATTGATATTGTTAGGATAATGGTTTTTTTTGGTTGAGAATATGAACGTTAAGATAATCATCTATCTTTGTGTTTTTCTAACCAGCTTAGCCCCTTAGATTCGAGTGAAACAATTTTTTTTTTGTTATCTTATTGATATAATTAAGTCTATGATAACAAATAGTTTTAAGTTGTATATAAATCTATGAGAAGATCTGTTCAAAAAATATTACGTGAATAATTTAGTAAATATATTTATAGATTAGTGAGATAGATCAAAGCCTACAAAAATATGGTCATCAAATCATATAACTACTTAAAATAGTTATATTTTTTTATCAGACCATTGGATTGTACTTAGATTTTTTATAAGATTTTTTGAAAATTATTTTTCTTGACGTAGCTATTACTTCGCTACATAGATCATTGAATCTTCATATATTAAAAATCTCATTTAGACCCTCTGTTTTTACAATTTTGTTATTTTTCATGTGTTTTTTTGAATTTCTTATGTTATTTTGGATTTTATGCTTCTTTTCTCTATAATTTTGGATTTTTATTTTTATTTTTTTTTTACTTGAGATAAGATTTTGATGTATTTAAGACTTTGTAAAGCTCCAAGAGAGGCAAACTTGATTATCATTATTTTTGAAAAAATAAATTTAAAAATTTATGGCTCTGGCTCGTATTTGCATCTCCTTTCACCTATTAAAATATTTTATATTTTTTTTGTTTAATTGTTGTTTTTAACTTCTACCTACATTACCTATTTTCTTTAATCTAACAATTAAAACTGTTTATATGTTGTTAATTTAGTCATAACATCTTGGTGATTTATACATTTATTATGATAAAAATATATTTTTCACGATTATTTAACAAATAAATGTTCTTAATTGAAGGATTTTGAATGCCATAATATTTCATAAATATTCAGTTTGAGAAATTATTTAAATTTAAATTTAAAAGCTCGCTATAGCAAACGTGAAGTGATGAACCCTATCTTCTTTTAGCACATGCAAAGAACCTAACAAGACCACCTACCCACGTGCAACGGAATGATCATCCAGGGAGAAGAAGCCCTATTAGGTACTTGTGGGCCTTCTGGCCCATTTTACACACCTGCAGCAAATGGGAATAAGAGCAAGCCACGTTCACCATGTGCCTATCGTCTTTTTTATAAAATGTCACCCTATTTCATTTTTAACCAATATTTCCTTAATTATTTAAATTTATGTTCCTTTTATGCCTAGATTTATGAAGAAACAGAAACGGTAGGGGCAAAGTGAGATGCACAACAATTTAATTTCTAAATGGAAAAAAAACTATATTTGTCTATATAAATTCGCAATTTAATTTCTAAATGGAAAAAAAAAAACTATATTTGTCTATATAAATTCATCATCCCCTCCTATATTGGTTCATTTTAATCTATTTTAACATTCTCTTCATAGTTTCCAAAAAAATATTAATTTTTTATCTTGATTATTGAGGATAGGCGTGGGCTCTTTTTTACTTGCCTTGGGAAGAGGGGTTGGTAGGAGATTATTTATCTGACCATGTTTGTGAGATAGCATCCTATATACGTAGTGTTGATAGGATAAATGGTGATAAAATAAGTAAAGAAACTGTAATACTTCGATCCAAATATTTTTGGGTTAAAATATTATAAAAATAAAATTTATATAAAATTTTATTTTTGACTAAATAGAAAAAAAATAAACCATCTAGGTGCTCTCTCTCTCTCTTATATATATATATATAGACACACACCCAAATTTAAGAGTTACATATTCTTCAGTAGATGTAGAGAAAAGAAGATAAGTGGATTGACCTTGCGGGACTAAAGTTCCATTCTATTTTCTTAATTCCAAGTTAAAAAATACAAATCCTTTTTATTTAGAAAAGTTTTGAATTAATTAAGGTTTTCTCTATATAAAAGGTGTATAAAATTAATGAGATTTAAATGGTATTTGTATGGATAACTCAATATAATAAGTATGATAAATTATATAATATTTTAAGATGAATTAAGAGCGCTTAATAATTGTTCAATGGCTTAAAAGGATTAGATTATCAATAAGTTGTTTTTTTGGCTACATACGGAATCATAGTTCTAGTTTTTTTTTTTTTGCCTATTTTTAGTGCTTTTTTTTTTCTTTGATTCATTTGTGATTTTATGTGTAGCCAAATGAATTCTTACAAAATATAGATGATGCAAATACTCAAAATAAAACAGAAAAAAGAAATTATGAAAAAAATTATTTGACTCCTATATATATATATATATTCTTATTGTATTACGATATTAATTGACTTTGGTTTGTTTATTTTCAGTTCTAAAAGACAAGCAAAAAGGCGAGCTGAGAAGTTAATAGCATAGTGAGAACAATTAAGTGAAAAACCTTGAATTTTATGAAACATGAGAGGTGTGAGGTATATTTTTCTTACTACTAATCAATGAAATTATATAGATTCAAAGATGTTTGAAAACAATAAGTATACAACACCAAAAACAAAGAACACCTTTCAGATGCAAGCTTTCTTCCAACAACTTAAGCTACTAACTAAGATGATGAAGGATATGAAAGATGAGTTGACTTTGACGAGACAATAAAATAGTGAAATGAATAAATTGAGAATAGGGTTGATCGGTAAGGAAACCCTATCTGAAAGGCCGTACAAAATGTTAAAACTGACTTTGTTGATTTTATGGATAAAAACACAGATGTAGATGATGAAGACTATAACTTTATATCTATAGATTATAAAGATTGTTTTGGGTAGAATCGAATCTAAAAGAATGTTAATTTTGGTCAGAGTAGAAAATTCAGCCAGAGAAAGAATTCCCTAGATTTTAGGCTTCATGATGGTTCATGTAGAGAATTAGGGTTAATTAAGATGAAAATACCAGGTTTCCAAGAAAAGAAAAATCTAGAGTGGGAAAAAAAGATTAAATGTAAGGTCTTGGCTATAAGATGTACATTTCAAGTTTTGGTCAAGAAAAATGATATATATTAGCAAATGGAGAACATCTTCCATGCACGTTTCGATGCACAAAACAAGGTATATTGTTTGATTATAGATAGTAGAAGTTATGCTAATATAGCTAATACTATCCTTGTTAATAAATTGAACTTATGTACTTTTAAGCTTCATAGACCTTATAGATTGTAATGATTGTAGTCAAGGTTGTTAAAATCACGATT